CGTCTCTGGCCTGTGTTAACGGGCGTTTACAGACTTAATATTTTCACATAAATTACATTTTGGAAAACTATTGCATTGCAACGCAGTTTGTGCAAGTCCAGAACAGAGATGAGTTGTTTGCAATAAGACAAAAAACGGCCGGTTGCCGATGGCGTAAGTTCCAAGGGAAGCTCCTTAAGTTCATCCATCATACACACACGTGACTGACCGCTCGCTCGCACCAACAGGAGGAGGAGGGTCGTGTTACTCTCTACACTGCACTCAACCTGAGGGATTCCTACACTTTCAGTCTTTGAGGAGACATGAAAAACAGCGCATACCGCAGGAACGGTATAACGGAAAATATTAGCGGTTTTGAAACCGTGAAAAGTTTCAGATCGCGGTATACCGTGAAACTGGTAATCGGCCCATGTCTAATTTCCACGATGCAGAAAACATGGACGGAATCGCGGAATCCAGTAATAAAAATGGAATTTACTGTATAACGTGGAATTTCATGGAATTTGTCTTATTTTTGATGAATAAATAAAAATCAGGTCAGTACATATATATATAGACTGTTTCTGTGAATATTAAACTGCAAAAAGACTTATTTAAATATGAATGTCCTGCATGTTCATTTGATTACCAGAAAATACACAACACAGAATTTGTGAAAAAAAATATTATTAATTATTATTATTTATTCATTTTAGATTAGTGATTGACCGATATTGATATTTTATAACCGATACCAATTATTTGCATGTTTGTGGTTAAATACCCTGCCTCCACTACATAGGCCTATGTTTATCACATCATTATGAGTGTTTGATCACCAAATTTGCATTATCATTGCAAAAAATGTGTATATGTATATATATTCTGTTTATGTAGGCTATATACTGTATTCTATATATATATAGTACCAGTCAAAAGTTTGGACACGAATGGGAAGTGTGTCCAAACTTTTGACTATACTGTACTATGATATAGCCTACACATAAAGAATATCGGCCGATATATCGGTATGTCTTTTTTTTACTCCCTAATATCGGTATCGGCCCCCAAAAAACCCATTTCAGTCGGTCATTAATAATAAAATAGTTTTATTAATATTTTGTCAGATAAACCACATGTAGAGGCTGTGCTTGCTTTGGTTTTAAAAAATAAACATTGTCATCCATAAGAATATCATCAGATCAGATGTGCAGGGGGAAACCAGACATTTAGTTTACAGCAATTAATAGTTTCATAACACAGTTTGCCCATCTCAGCAGACGAGGTTAACAGTGCATTTTATAACAATTAAAATGCATTAAGTAATATTACAGAACGAAATGAGGGAGAGGAAGTGATGACATAATTCTCATTTTTGTGGGTCCCTTTAAGCACTTTTTTCCAAGGCTGGTAGAGTGAGGAAAACCATTAAAATGTGAATAATTTTGCCAGTCTGAAGAGTGGAAAAAGCAAAGGAAACTTGAAGAATCACAGATCCCTTCTTAAATCAAATAGGAAAGACTGACATCATTCACACTAAAATCCACTGCTCTTACTTCATCATTAACCCTCTGGTATGGTTCGGTCATTTTAGACCGGAAGAAAAAAATGTTTTGAAATGTTAAAAGTCGCTACTTCATCGGAATAGTATGAAACTCGCTGACTTTTATGGCAGTCACTATGTGACAACAAAATAAAATAAAATAAAATAGTGGACTCGAAAAAGCTAAATGGTCGTAAAAAAAAAAAAATAGTCACACTTGTGTTGTTGGAAATGAATGGGAAATACACAAATTACGAAAATACAGATAATTTTTTGTGTGTACAATCTACAAAACATTCACGATGCAGAAAAAAGTGCACAGCAATGAAGGGGTGACACTCTAGTCTAAAATATCAAGAGTGCAAAACAGACACACCCACCCCACCCCCACAGACACATATATATGAACTAGTGTGACTGTAACACAAAGCATGTTCTTGCAAATATGTGAAAATCAATCATTTAGCCACAATGCAGTAAAAACACAGACGCCAAGGAAGGGGTGACACTCAAACTTCAAAAGTACAAAACAGACACACACACACTCAAACATACACACACACATACACACAGACACACACACATACACACAGACACACACAACACACTATTATACACACACAAATGAACTGGTGTGGCTGTAACAATATGGCAAAATTTAACCAGAAGACTCAAATAAGAGGATGAAATCAGATTGATTAACCGCTGATAAAGCATTCCTGTTTATATTTGTTACATTTATGTTGAACTTTGATGTTATGTGTAATAAAATGTCTTTCTTTGTGTTCAGCTTTGACTTTAGTAAAATTAATACAATGTCTAAAAACAACTAGATACTTTTATATGGAGCTCTATAGGAACCTAGTGGCTAAACCACGGGATTTCAGATGTTTTTCTTTTTTTACTCCCACCAGATGGAACTACTCTGCCTTCAAAAATTGTATTTTAAAGGCATTGTCTCTATTTTAACATGAAATACTGCCATAACTGAAAAGTAATAGAAAAATATTAGAAAAAAATTGTTTTGGTATTATTTTCAATGGGAAGAACGTATCATAATTATTGCATAAATATAAAACAGTACCATGAAATTCTCTCAAAATACAAAACAAAAAAGAACAAATATTATCGAAAATATATATTACATTGATTTCACTGAAAATAATAATAATTAAAAAAAAAAGTTTAATTTCAGGTGTCCGGTCACTTTTGCCCGTAAACAACACAAGTCTTCACACGCGTCGCTGAAGTTTCATAACGGACTCCGGCGCGTGCGTCACGTTCAGGCGGATAGACACGTTCCTGCAGGGCGCATACATTTTCAGTACGTCATAATCGCGGGAAACCGGCACATTTGGTTAAATCGCTGCATTCACAAACCCCACGGCTCTCCCGCTTAACGGTCACGCATTTCAACAGGCGCGTGACGCAAATGGCGCGCAATTCGTTTCCTCCTCGTTGTTTACATGGTCAGGCCAGCGGCTCATTTCTACAAGCCGCAATCAGCACAACCAACGGCAGCGACTGAAGAGAAACGTGTTTTTGGTAGAAGGAGGAAAATATCAACGAACTCAGGCGCTTGACGTCTCCTCCACTTCACATGCGAAGAAAACGTGGGTGCAACGTCGTCCGCGAACTTGACGCTCACCGCTGTGTTTAGTTGAAGACAGCAGGCGAACAAACCGCTATGCGATGCTACCTGCACTTCACAACGACGAGCCAGGCCCTCAAAATAAAGTTTACGTAATTTGCTTGGCATCTTAAATGGCTGTTTTGACATTGCATTGTTCAGTCGCCGACAACGATGCGCAACAACAGCAAACCTTTTGATTGGGTGAGAGCCCTGACTGACGCGAGCTCCAGCGTTCTGATTGGACCGCGCACCTGTCAGTCAAACTCTGACGCCCAGCGGCCTCCGCTCGGCCTACTCCTTGCTGCATGGGACTACCGTAATTACGAGGCGAACAAAAGTCTCCCAGCTATTTAAGAAGCCCAAACGCGCATTTATCGCGGTCTACTTAAAGAGCAAGACCGCAGCTGTTGACACTTTCCACGAATGCACTATTTGACTAAATCACTTCCATGCGTCCCATTAGCATCAAACAGGGGGAACACATGCATGGAGGCAAGTTTCGTTTTAACAGAACAACAACATCACATAAAAATGACACATTTCACAATTACAACAAATAAAACGTCCAAGACAGCTACTTATTATTTTGCAATACATAATCACAGCGCCGTTTACCTTTAACGCTGATAAATGTACTCCGGCAGCGAAGAAAGCAAGTCCACACGCGTGAAGACCGCTTGAAGCCGCATGCTTTGAGAGCGCAGCGCGGCGCATCCACGCAGTTTGTTTTCTTCTGCGCGAGCAGCGGCCGGCGTCCGCGAGGTGGAGTCTGTCTGCGCATGCGCGCACGGAAGCTCGCCGCTCCTCATTTGATGGAGATTTGTTTGCGTATTCATCACGTTTTTCATCAAAAGGCGACGGGATAGTTTAGGCCTGCAGTACAGAAGCCGTATTCTTGTAGGTTATGTGCAGTTTTGTCGCTTGTTCTGTGAAGATGACAAGACAGAGGCAGGTGTCTTCCCTTCCCTTTAATAATGCCATTCATTTGTACTCTAATCCCGAGACAACATTGATTATTAATTATAGTGTAAGAAATACAAGAGACTAACATATTTACAGTGTTTGGGAGTAACTAGTTACATGTAACGGAGTTACGTAATTACACAATAAATGTAACTTAACAGTTACTGAGAAAAAATGTGTAATTACAGTTACTTATGAAAATGTTAAAGATTACAAAGGGGGTTACAGCTGAATATTTTCACACACACCCACATACAGATTTAATTGATTTCTTTCCCAAATTGCATTGACTACTCTAAAATATGAGACACCAATGGAGTTTAGGACACAGAATAGGAAACGTTTATATGATAACTGTTTTATTTATTTGGGTTTATGTGTATGTTTTTTTTTTTTAGATTAACTGCTAGATGCCTGTGTTTCCTGTCATAGCTATGCAAAGATTTGATTTCAAAAACAGTATCATAGCTATTAAACTAGATCTTGTTATGATTTCAAGCTGTATTTAACCTCAGCACGATCTCAAAGTAAAACATGGTGCTAAAGTCTGATTTTGTGGTGGCTGTGCTTTCAAATCAAGTGCTGAAGAATTCTGACAGTAATCAGTCGTGAGTGCTACTGTAAGATTCAACCTGCCTGCTTTAAATGTTTCAAAATGATTTACAGTTGAAAACATTCGTTCGAAATTTAGAAATGTAATCAAAAAGTAATCAAATGTAATCAGTTACATTGCTTTAATAAAGTAAGTGAAATAGTTACACTACTTATTACATTTTAAATAGGGTAACTTGTAATCTGTAACCGGTTACATTTCCAAAGTAACCTTCTCAACACTGTGTATTTATGCCTTATTTTATTTACACCCCAAATTATCTTGGTCACAGTGTATAGATCAATAGCAATGAACAACAATCTAGTTTAAAATGCATATCCTCCTGAGAACCATAAAACAAGTTTTGTGAATTTTGTTGTTTATTATGTCATTACACTGGTTGTTGGAGCATAAGAAACAAATGGAGATTTTTTTTTCTTTGTTTTAAATGATATTTTATTCATATTTTATTCTACGTCCTTTGTAGAGGATGCCAGGACTAAGTTACTAAAAAAAAAAAAAATAGGCATGAAAAGGCATGTATATGCAAAAACAATGCTTTCTTTTTTTCATTCACCAATCGGTTTTTAGGTTTCAGGCTGTTTTTAACCAAACTTTGTACAAAGATGATTCTTAATGAAAGATATAACAGATTGATTTGATATACTATTTTACTTTGTGTAATATGTGTGTAAAATGTCCATAAATTGCTATTCTCATTCTATACAATGTGTCTATAGATCGCATCTAATTTGCAGATTAGGCCTAATGTGTTCTTGGGGAAACCCATAATGAAAATGAAATAATGGGAGTAATAACGTGGCAACATTTTCATAAGAATATCTCATATTTCATAGGAATATTGATCTATAATGTCTTGATGTGTTTCCCCAAAATGCCTGATTAACATGCCGTTTGTCCTGGTGTCCTCTACAGAAGACGTGTATGAAAATTATGCCCCGTTTCGTAATAAAAAGTCAAACAAACCCCATAACATTATTCTGAGATGTTGTCTTTTTTACGACAAACAATTTGAAAATTAGTCCGATTTAAATGATAATTACAAAACTTTTTCATACTTTCCTAAGAGTGCTAAATTTGATCATTCTGTCAGTATCAGTCATATTTAAAGACCAAAGAGAAGGTGTGTTTATGATCAAACCGCCAAACATTTGATATCTCTAAAAAGCCCTGAATGTGCTCTGTACAGGACATCCAGACTTAAAACTGTGGCATGTAGGGTCTCAGAGAAATTCACTAAAATACAATATCCTCTACAGAGGACAGAAGTCTGTGCCTGGGTCCCAGGAGGCTATGCATAGAAAAGTAGAAATGCATTTTTGTATTTAGTTTGTTTCATATGTTTTGGAAAAACGTTGATACAGTTACACTGTATGCGTGGGGTAAGTTGTCACAATGTCACTTGCCAATAAACAGTCTAGGCATTTCAGTAAAATATGTAGTGGGAAATAATTATTTTAATTTAAGACTGTTTGAAAACAACATACAACGTTTTAAACGTTCACGGTACTTTGATGTTGGTTAATGATGATATGATATGCAGGTAAACAAATATTAAACGCTTTATCTAAATAATCTGTTATTGGCCACTGTTGCTTGTAAACCATCAGTGTTGGGGAGTAACTAGTTACATGTAACGGCGTTACGTAATTTAATTACAAAATAAAAGTATTTCCCAACACTGTAAACCATCGGTGGACTGAATAGAGCATTTCTTCAAAGCCATCAGTAGCTGAAGCTTTTGCTATGGTGTGATACTGCATTTACAGCAGGTGTTAGTATAAGATACCTGCCACATCCACACAATATGCAGTCACAGTCAACCTTAAATTCAGAAATGTATATGTTCAGTATGCGTTCTCAAATTAATGTCTGTATGATTTTGTTGCTTCTTTTTCGTGTTTCTTTAATAGTCCTGGACACAAAACATTTGATGACTTGATTGCACAATCAAACTGACATGGAAGCAGCATGGAGAATGCATGACACACTTCATACATGATTATGATTTGACTACCCAAACTGAGCAAAGACAAGGACCGACAGGTAAGAGCTGACAAAGACACAAGACAATGAATGAACAGCATTGCTCTTTGACTGATCAATACCCCGGAAACACCATCCCTATAGAAAACGAGTATAAATGTGCAGATCTCAAGATTTTATTTTTTGAAACTTGGTTATACATGTGGCCATAGTTCATTTTTGTTTGAGATTTGGTATTGTTTTCAGAATATGACAGAAGTTTGCATTACTTTAGTTCACATCTAGTGTAACAGCACTGACTTTGCCACAAGAGGCCAGTAAAGCTCAAAGTAGCTTTTCCAATTCTGTACCTTTGTCTAAGAAGTTTATAGATGCTCTCACACGTATGTATTATTAATCAAATCTAATCTAAAATAATTCTCTCTCTCGCTCTCTTTTTACAATAAAGTGACATTGTATGATATAAAACTAGTGCATATTTTTATTATACCTCAAACTAAGCAGATGAGCCAATCATTGCATTCAATTTGTGCTAAACTGAAGAAATGTATGATATGAAAAAAAAAATACATAATGGCATAGAATTCTGTAGGACTGAGCTTATTGCATTTAAGCACCTGGCAAACTCTTGCTCTGTGCATATTGTGTGTGGAAAGGCCGAGACAAATCAAGGAAGTGAAACTCACAACCACTTTTGCACAATTATACAAATTTACAAATTTTATTTCAGAGTTCTTGATGAAACTATGCAAATTTAAACACACATCCATAATTCACTGCTGTCTCCTCACACGCACCCTCACACAGAGAACAAAATAAGACAAAATCATTTACAGTAAGAGTGCAGCAGGAGTATCAGTCTGCAGAGATGATACAGACCCACTAAGGGAAAGGAACTGAGGGGGAAGTGCAACAAGGAAGGGGCTCACTTACTTTCACCATTGAGCGTTATAAACACAACGATCAGTCAGATGAGAGGTCTATATACAAAAGCACAGGCAGAGCTGTTGGGGGATCCCACATTATATCAATAGGAAATGTGATTGTCTGAAAATCAGAGATGAATCAAGGAAGTTCAGTTTTGAGTAAAGGATCACAAACGGACTGCAATTTCCACATGTTCAGATGCTACCAGTGTTGATGTGAAGGCCTGTAACAGTCTTCTAAATGCTTTCATACAAGTGCACACTGCATTCTCAGCTTTGCCACGAGGGGCACTATAGCCAACATCAGCATAAACTGTATTCTTCTGTGGTCAGTTGACTCAGTCAGGGAAACAGCTGTCATTGCAGTAGGTTTGAAGAGGATCTGAGCACAGATCTGAAGGTAACCCGTGTCCAAGATGATATGAGAGTACTGCCATTTGCCACCATGCAGTGGTGTCCAAAACCATAGTGGACATTAAGAGTGCTCTCATTCTCAATCCCATAATGCACTGTAACAACAAGCGTACGACCAATGTACACTCAATGGCTAACCACTAGTAAATACCCATTCACTGTAAGTGTTGCGCCAAGTGAATTCATGCACCAAATGGCGTCCGCTTCCAGCTCACTAGTATTCAATCACTTCTTCAAGTGGACTATATTAGTGGACTAATTTAGGAAGTAGTGAATGAGGGTAGAGGGTTATATAAAGGATATATATATCTCCACTTTGAGTAAATTCAGTAAGCCCACAGTAATGCAAAAATCCTCGTCAAGTATTTTCCTATATCCCAAAATAATGCAGCGACAACTATATGCAAGTCATTTGTAGATTGATTCCCCTGAAAAATGTAAACACCTTGTTTAAACATTTAGACTACTAGCCTGACATGGAAACAGCTCAACCAATGGCGTGAGTTTGGGGCGGAGCTGTTTGTATATTTGACCAATGACATATGGGAGAGGTGTTTCAGGAAAAATAACTGTTTAAAAAAACAGTCATTACTTTTTTGTAATTGCTTTTTGGTAATGTTAGTGGCACAGAAACACTTGTACAACAAGACCGCATGCATGTCTTGGTGTGTTTTTGCATTTGCATACTAAGTATATGTAGAGTATGGTTCTGGCCTAAGTCTCTTCTGAAACTGTTTATTCAGCCTGGGCAAATCTGAGCGTAACATTCTTGGCCATCCACTGATTTTGGAGCTGCTGGATCAACTGAAACCTAGTCAACTTTC